TAATAATCAAAACACATTACCTCTTAGAGACATATTCCAGTAAGTGTATATAACGTAACACCGAAAAAGAGAGTCCTGAAAATATTTTAAAAATATGTATGCAAACATTATGAGAAACAAAACTACATATATATCATACTAAAATAGACAAAACTAAAGCATATAATACTAAAGTACATTATACGAAGAACTCTAAAAGAGACATCTAACAGTCAAAGAAATACAAATATAATAAAATATTGAAACCCCAAAGCCAAAGAATTATGATACAAATTAAGATAATGACAAGATGATGATCTTCTTAACTTAACATGGGTTTATTATAAACCAAACGATAGTAAATCAAACAGGGTCAATAAAAAACGTATAGAATGCGTTTAAAAACAATTACACGAAACCTAAAATCTGGATATAAGGAAGAATGCGTTTACAACTATAATATCATCTTCAAAAGAACAGAGTCAGATGACTACAATATAAAAACAGCAACAACATAAAAACACACAAAAATAATAGATTATGAAAACGACGCAAAGAATGAAGGAATTGCATATTCGAAAGTTTAACCTAGTTTTTTTTCCTCAAGCAATATAAAAGAACGAATATAGGGGACGTATTTATATAGTTTTTCAATAAAAGGGTTTCCACTGCTAGGGTTTCGGTTAGACTGAATAATTGTTTTCCTATTCAGGTGAAATTTCCATTTTTTAATATACGTAAATTAAACATTTTTTAAAATTATTTCCGGATTGATCTATCTAATTACCTTTTAAAACAATATGAACAGTCTATTGCTTTCAAGGATCATCTAGAATATAATTTGTATTAAAAATATCAATTACTCTATTTACTCTAAACCCTGAATCAATTAAAATTAATCAAATAATATCATATCGTCTGTTTCTTTTAAAAAATGTTTAATTTGTAAGCACACAAAGCATCTTTGCAGTTCTATTGCTATGTGGATGAGACAAGTCGTTTTTATCTTTTTAAAAAAATAATTGTAAACAATACTTGTATGGATAATGGTGTGAATATGTAGACCAATTCATGAATATATAGAACGAATATGATGAGCACGGGATCCACATTACATTAAAAATATTCGATAATACACAAAAACACATATATAAAAAACTCAAAATATGATAATAATCTAATTCATATTATATAGCCAAAACAGAGAAGAACATTCACAAGAAAATTTTAAAACAATCATTACAAATCTTGTAGAAAATCGAGATTTATAATTGATTTAGGAAACCATAATAGCGAATATAAGGTCGTGACGAATAACATGAAAGGCAAATCAAAACATATAAAAAACTAACGAATCCATAACACCAAATAAAAGGTTCTGTTGAATATATTAAAAAGGTATCTAAAACATTATCAGAAACAGAACATATAATGGATATTCAAGAATCGGCAGAGGGAAAGATCAAGTGCTTGACGCAGTTCCAAACATGCGCATGATTCGCTAATGCCTTTGCCCTGAGAAGAATCCTAAACAACACACGCAAAGCATGCAAAGAGGACCATTTACTCGCTTCATAAAATCCAGCAATAAACTCATCATCGTCTTCGGATACCAATCCTATAGCGTAGCAAGCATCTTTGAATGTTGAATATTGAACACCGTTGACGGTCCTAAGATCAGAAAACAAAACGCTCCTCTTCTCACCTTCAACAAAAGTCTTAAGTAATAAAGTTCACCAGATGACAATGGACAACACTGCAAGAGAAAGACTTGCGAAGTTTGAGATAAACGGCGCCTCCATTTTGATTGTTTACGATCCCAAACCCATTCCAAAGAGAATTGAGGATACGTCAATTCCCTTGCTTCAGGATGAAGACGATTACATTCCATCCAAGCTTCCAGTTTACTCTTCTTGCCCAAACCAGACATTTCCTCATCATCTGAGAACGATTGTGATGGTGGAGGGAGGTGCACAGGTAGGAATGGAACCCCTAATCAATGTTAATAATATACATTTCAAATATAAACGATTAAACGTTTTAACCAATAAAAATATGAAAGCTTAAGATAGGTGCTGATAAATAACAAATACCAGTCGAAGACATATTCCAAGAAAATTATATACGATGAAACACTGAGTAAGAATATCCTGAAAAGCACAGAGTCAAGAGATCAGCAAGTACAATATGGCAAATAAAAAAGAATTACATACAAAAATTTTAATATAAGAATCAACCAACAAAGAAATACAAGAAACACTAAAAGAAGTACATATAAAGAAAAATACATTAAATTATAACTAAAAAGATCATAATAGAAACGATTAGGCTAAGAGATAAGTAAGTATACCTACAGGAGTTCTGAACGTGTATAAGCAGGCCGTCCTAAAATACAAAAAAACAATAGTGATCGGACAAAAAGCAACATAGTGTTAGTTTTAAGCTAGCGACTGTAAACCAATAAGGGTTATACGAAACAACATAAAAAGATCGTATAAATACACTTACACGAAACCGATACGATGAATGAAAAGGATGAATGTGTGATTGGGTACACAGTTTCAATATCCTCTCAAGCGGATGAACCTACAATATGAAACCAACAAAACCAAAAGAAAAACGAAAAGCAAACATAAAAAAATTTCAAATCAAAAACCAAAACGAAATAATATAAAACATGCGGCTAACAGAACTTACACGAGATAATCGAAGAGGAAGAATCAAATAGCACTTCAATATCCTTCTCAAAAGATCAGCGTGCGCTCTTAGATTCAGTATCGTCCTCAAAAGATCTGCCTACAATAGAAAGCAACAACAACATCAAAATTAATCCAAAGAAAAAAGCAAGCAATATATAAACACAAATCAAAACGCCGCAGAACACAAACAAATCAAAGAAAAAATTGCATATGATAACCTAGGGTTTATCTAAAACGATATGAAAGAATGAACGTATGAGACTTATTTATATAGGTGTTTAAGATTAGGGTTGAGGTCGGTAGTATTTCGTTTAGGTCACGTAAAATATGGGCCGTGAATATTTGTATGGGCTTACGATATTGATTTCCTCGAGTTTGTTTAAAAAAATTTGGTTAATATATTCAAAATTAATTATTCTCATTAAGGGGTAAGAGGTAATTAACCAGCTGAAACTCAATGAGAGGCCTCCATTGCTTATTTTGAACCCGCTTTTAATATATATGATACCCTTGAGCTGTTTCTTATTTAAGAGGCTGAAGAGCCTGTATTGAGACTCATACGTGGCAAGCTGTGATTGGTGGAGTGTTTTTAATTTTTTTTTTAATCAAAAACTCTTGTTTAGACAGAGACTTTAAAAGGTTGATTGTATCCACTAAAACGTTTTTATTTTGGGTCCATAGTTGATTTTGGATACGATTGTTTTCAATGTAGAAATTATATTATTGAATTCAATGTAGTTTTATATAGATAACATTTCTGCTCACAAAAAATCATCCAACAAACGTCTTTCCTTCTCTTTTTCAATAATAATCTTCTATATTCTCTCTTTCATTCTTTCAATAATAATTTGAAAAGAAAATTTAAAATAATTTTTTTTAGAGCCTCTCTTAAGATCTTACCATTGGACACTAAAACAATGAAGAAACTTTATTAGAGGCTCTACTTCAATAAAGCGATCAAAAAACTATTAAAAAATAAATTAGAGCCTCTTAATAGAGCCCATGGTTGGAGGTGGTCTGACAGATCAAGCCGATGTGAAACGGACAATCATTTTTCCATTCCGGTACAACCCGGTTTATTGAGTGACACCTTTCTCATTTGAATGAAGGTTTTTTTTTTAATTTTAACTTATTTTAAAATATTAAAAAGAATCATCAGTCTGTTTTGTCAGCAACCACCACGCAATTTGGCCAATAAAGTAACATATATTTAAGAATTGATAGAGCTCATCAGAATTTGTGCATTCTAGCAATTACAATTAGTAATTATTTACCAGGTAGTAATTCGTGCAACGCATGAGATATTTATAATTTTTTTATAATATCGAGGATTTAAGATAAAAATATAAACAATAAAACTTAAAATTCTAAAACAAATATATTATATTAGTATAAACTATATTGTTATATAAAAATAAAACCAGTTGATAATTGTAATTTATAATGTTATATAGTATATTTTAATATTAGAATAATTAAATTAACTTTACAGTAATGAAAAAAAATTATTCCAAAAAAAAATTATGAGATTGATTTATACAGATTTTTAGAGTTTAAGATTTAATGGTTATTGGTTTGTAGATTTGTACATTAAAAATACATTTTACTGTTATTTGTAAATAGATTATAACATTTTTTAAAAATCTATTATTATTAGTTGATTTCAGTGCGGGATTTTAAAAAAGTATATAAATGGCATCAAAGTATTAATAGGCTTGGGGCTTTTCAGAGATAATAAGATTTGAACCCTTGGAATATTCTTTAGTTTCTAATCTGCTTATGCATGTATGTTTTAGATCCAACTTTTTCGGACAACCATACACTTACGATAAAATAAACCTTAAATTGGTTGTTCAATTTGAAGGAATAAAAGTTATAACAGAAAACATAATTTTTATAATTTATTGGTTTTATAATTTTTACGACAGAAATAATAAACCATTAGTTTTAGATTCAGATATTATATCTAGATTTATTGGTTTCGAATCGGATTCAGTTTAATATTTCGGATCAGGTTTTGCTTTTGATTTAGAATAATTTAGTTTAATATTGATTTTGGTTTAATTGTTGGTTTAATATTTTGGAATTGGATCATTGTAATTGCAAAAAAAAAAAAAAAAATCTGGGCTCAAAATCCCAATTTTTGGTTTATAACTCGTCTAAAAGTGTCATGGCATTTATGGTTGCGTCTAAAATTGGATCTAAAAGCGCTGCTCATTGGATGGGTTTGTAAATGAGGCTGCCCGTGGTAGATGGGTTTTAAAGTAATACACCCTTAATTTGTTTTCATTGAGATCCAACGGCTAAAAACATGACAGGCACAGCTGATAGATCTCAGCCGTAGCGATAAACGTAAAACCCACAAAGGCGCTCTCTCTCTCGCTCTCTCACTCTCTCACATCCGCAGACACACATTCAAAACCGGATCTAACCCTAATTTTAGCGAGAAAGAGTCTCCAATTCTCACCATGGACGAAGATCTCCCATACAACAGTAAGATCTCTCTCTTCATCTCTGACTTACCCGAAATTGTTTGTTTCTGCGATGATGGATCTTCTGTCGTAGTCTAACTTTTGCCGGAATCTAATCGAATGCATATGTTGGTCTATTCAAGTGAAAAATATATTGGTCTTGTGGAACTTGGATGACTACCCAATCCCTCCTGGTACCGATCTTGGTCGTATTCGTAGTAATATCGAAGATGCGCTTTATGAAATTGGCTATTGGGGGCTGCCGGTTATCGAGGTGTATGCTGAGAAATCCTCCGAAGAGGACTGGTTTAAGGCCGGGTTCACCTACCGCGCACGAGAAAGTGAGTTCCTCTTTGTCGTTTCTTTCTCTTCTACTTAAATTATATTTATGTCTGTGTAAGTAATCGTAATCGAGAGATCTCTCTGTGTTAATATATATAGCTTCAAGAGATGACAGCACTTGGGAATATGACAAGTCGGCTGTTTTCAGAATGCCTTTCTCAATGGTTTCTCAGGCTAATTCTCGTCCTCCAATAAACTTTTTCCTCATCGCAAAACAAAACACAGACAGCGAGTTGTACAGGGTTCAGCGGTGTTTGCACTCGAGAAAACACCATGTTCTCGTACTCGTTGACGACGACACTGCAGCATCACAAGAAAGTAGTCCATTGCTCTCTGTACAATCACTAGTTGCTCGTACACAGTTTTTTGGTGGAGTAAAGCCCCCTAGACTGACGGAAAAGTTGCCACAAAGCATCGATTCTGATGATGTCTACAGTGAAATGACGATGGAAGATTTCTACAAGCGTATCACTGTCACACCCGTCAATGGAAATAAGGCAGCCTTCTTCTGGGACCTCTCGGTTTGCCCATTCCCTGATTGTTCCGATCCTGATATGATCTATGGCAAAATCAAGAAAGCTATTGTTGATAGGGGTTGTGTTGGTGAGTTGTCAATCTGGGCTTATGTTGATGACCGCAATGGGTCTTCTTCTTGCAGTGGTAACTGTCTGAGTAACAAGACGTGGAAATCCAGAATCTACTTCCTTCCCGGAGGTGAATCCTTTGCTTTTGTTATTTAAGCCCTCCAAATTAACATCACCCTTTTAATTTCCCTTCTGTGTATCAATTTAATCTATACACTATATCTCACTAGTTCCATTTATATATCTATTTTCCAGGGGCCTCGATACTTAATAGAATGTTAAATGACATTCATTTATGGGCACTGGACTCTCCCCGGGATGAGCCTGAGCCTCATTCAGCAAATCTGGTCGTAGTCTCTGATAAAGTCAGAGAGAACGTCTTATTCTCGTTTATAACAAAAACTTTTCATGACGCCGATTTCCATGTTCTCTTAGCAACTCCGTCTCAGGGCGGCAACAATACAGAAGACCCTGATTGGCCAGGATTGCTAATTGATGAAGGTCTCACTTTTGGCCCTTGCGAAAGTGAAATCTTAGAACCAGCTGCCAAAAAGCATAAAGAAACACATGAGGGCTCGGGGCCCAGGGCCTGCCCTAAGGGCATGTTTATTGGTAGAAACTCAAATGAGTTTCTAGTGAATATTTTAGTAATAAATTCAAATTAAGAAATTTATTAAGAAATTTGGTGTTTTATGAGTTACATTGGGAGAAACTCTAGTTCTTAAAAAAAAGCTTTGGAACAAGACACATGTATTGGGATGCTTAATCTAGTTGATTCAAATTGAAGATCGATTTCCGTTTTTGGTTGCACCATACACACCTTTACAAGCACAGAGAACAAAAACAATAAACAAATATTTAGCCTTAATCCTGCGCTCATGAAAATCAAAATTCCAGAATTTTTTTACGGCCTTGGTTTACCTGTTTTGTGATTCTCATTTGACTTTTCTTCCATGAACCAGAAGACAACATCACGCCCTGCTGCTTCGAATAGCTTAGTATTGATATGTGAATATCGACAAGGGACAAAACAGTAATTTAGATCGGAAGCTTGGTTTTATTAGATTGAGTCAAGGCGAAATACAACTGAGTTCGGTTATTTCGATAGGTAATAACGAACTAAGACTTAAAGCGATTAAGAAACTATCGTAATGAGTTCTCAATCTCTAAGTCTTCGACGAATCCCCTTTTTTCTTCTCTGTGTCGATTCGTCTCCCTTTATATATATCTCCTAAGTCGGTTTTTAAGCACGCCTTAGACGATATGGGACCGAGAGGAGTTTCCTTTTCTCTCGGTTCCTTTCCTTTTCTCTCCGAAGTTTCCTTTTTCCGTTAGGAAACTTTCCTGTTTCGGCCGAGCTCAAGGAAACCTTCCATTCCTTTGAGAGGTTTCCCACCGACCTCGGCCTAATGGGCTATCTTCGGCCCATCTTCGCTCGGCCCATCTTCTCTCGGTACATCCCTTCGTAAACCGGGCTTACGGTTCGCCGATCTCAGTTTGTACCGGAGAAAACCAGGGTGCGGTTTTCACCTCCAACAGTTAGCCCCCCCCTCAGTTCGGTGAAAGGAGGTGACTTTCAGTCAAACTCAATTCTTCGGTTATTGGATCACAAACTGAGCTCGGTAATTGCTGTCGTTTCGCATTTCCGGACGTTTCGCGCCTATCTTCAATGAGGCGCGTGAATTACGGGATTTTTCGCGAAAATCGAGGAACCCACGATTCCCACTGTGTATAAAGGGCAAACTTCTTCTCGCATTCATTATTCTCGCCTCAAGCATATATAAGGTACGCCGCTCTCCCTTCTCTCTAGATTTCATTTCTCTCTCTAGTTTTTGTTCTTCGTTTTCTCTCGTTTCTTCAACTCTCGCCGCCGCGAACTCTTGATTTTTCCGAGCAACCTTCAAACTTTCCGGTTGATCTTCAAACTGTTCTTTATTTCCTTCAAATCTTCTTTCCCAAACCCTAAAATGTCTTCCAGCAATTCGATTAATTCTTCCTCGAATAAAATTCTTCCGGAAGACCACCGTGAGTCCTCGGAGCCGAGCTCCTTTTCTTCAAACCCTCAGCAGTCAAGTTCATCACGGGAAGAAAGCAACCTTCCCCAATTAGTTCGTAAGAACTCTAAATCTGCGGAAGCTAGCAGCAGCCGTGCTAGAGTCAGAATTGAAGCTACCGAAGATCTGACTGCAGAGGCTCGCGAAACGGAGGCTCGCGCTGGACCGAACGTTGATGCTAACACCCCCGAGATCGAGGAGATCGAGGAGGTCGAGGAAGAATTTCAGGGGGAGAACGTTGCTGATACTGAAGTCGACAACATTGAAGCGGTTATTCATGCTTCGCCACCACTTCCGAGGCGGAAAGTAGTTCGTCCCGACAACGTGCCCTCTTTTTCCCTTTATCCTGGTGCTGTTCGAGCCGTGCTCGAGGCAAACGGTCTTGCGGACAAGATTATTTTCATCATTCCGGAGGCTAGAGATCGGCCGTGGGACGTTCCCAAAGGCTTCCTTTGCGTCTACCTGACGTACTTCACCCAGTGCGGGCTTTCTTTCCCCATTCCCTCTCGCCTACTGGGATACTGCAATCGGCGCGGCGTAGCTCTCACACAGGTGATGCCGGCCTCAATAACGAACTACGTTGGGTTCGTTTCCTTATGTGACGAGCTTGGCGAAGTCCCATCGAGTCGAATTTTCGAAGACCTCTTCTTGGTCAATATCCATAAGTCCAAGGAGTGGTTCTTCGCCGCCAATGCCAAGCCGAAGAAGAATTTAGTTATGGGACCTAAGCCCAGTAAATTCAACGATTGGGAGTCCCAGTACTTCTATATTGAAATGAACAATCTCACCGTCAGCAATTCTGACATCGCAATTCAGTCGAATTGGAAGATTCCGATTGGTAGATTAGATGATTTCACACTTAGATAACTTTTGACTTTTACTGCTTGCTAACTCGACTTCGTTTTATTTTTGTAGGTCGTGCGGCCTTGGCAAGACCGAAAAAAGAAGGAGTCTCCTTCTCAACTCCGGACAGTTTGAAGAAGCATTCAGCGAAGCCGGTAAACGTCATTGGCCGGAGGTTTGGGAAGAAATCCTACAACGTCGAGCTAAGAAAGCGGGTATGTTCATCGAATTCTGTCTTTACTCACTTTATTCTGAATTTACTCCGAACTCCTCCTTAAACACATTTTCATTTCAGGCTCCGTTCGAGAACCAAAACCACGCAAGCCGAGAACTCGAGCTAGCAAGCCTCGAACCGCTCCCAAACGCCAATCACTGAAGTCGCGAACTCAACGCTCCCGAGCTGCCAGGATGCTTTCCATTGACGAAATCCCAACTCTCTTCGGTGAAGAGGAAACGGATGTGGCTGAGCCGACCCCAGTCCTTGCTGCTGAACAGACCGAAGTGCAGCCAGAAGAGTTGCCACCTGCTGCGGGCTCACCTGATCAGGTTGATCAGAGGAAGACGAAGAAGAAGAAGTCTTCGAAGAAGAGTAAGAAAGCAGAGGACTCTTCTCGGGTGCAAGATACTCCCGCCCAGCTTGATCCACCGACAGCTGTGGCGTCGGGCCTCGCGCTCTCGCAAGATCGAGCTGAAGCTTCACACTCCCGAAAAAGGCAAACCAGAGACCATGTCGAGGGCTCTCAAGAGCACGGGCCGGCTAAGAGAGTCCGAGTTTGTTTTGACTACGACGAGGAGACTCCTTTTGAGGAGAACGTAGATGCCTGCGCCGAGCTCTATCATAAGATCTCCTCGGAGGTACCTAGCCTTCCCTCGGTTCCCGAGCTCCGGTTTCCCAACATGTACAAGGGAATCGCTCACACGACTGCTGTGGTAATTTTACTTACCCCTTATAGACTTGGATATTCTTCTAAGTATGAGTTCTAATTCCTGTTTCCTCTGTGCAGCTCGCCAGTCAGACCAATAACTTGGTCGCTGCATATGAAGTAGCCCTGTTTGACGAGCAAGTAAGGGTCTCCGAGCTCGAAGAAAGGATAGCCAAAGCAGAGGAGCGTCTCGCCACTGAGCTCCAAATCAACGAAACTCTGCACTCTCAAGTTGACTTGCTGAAAAAGGAGAGTGCAGAGCTGAAGGCGGTGAAAGACGAGCTCACCGAGGCCCAGAATTTACTCTCTAAAGAGTTCGAGAAGGACAAAGGGCGGCTACAAGGTATGGTGGCGCACTGGAAGAATCGAGCTAGGAGCGTTCACGCAACGGCTTGCGAACGCCTTGAGAAGGTCATTCGGAGTTTGGACGATGCTGACAGGGCTCGGAAGCCGTACTTGGTCTACAACCAGCTCACCGGGGTCCTCGGTTTCATCAAGCAGTTGCGGAGGAAGGGTCTGTACGAGGTCCCGCCAGAAATGATTGCGGATATTGAAGCAAGGCATGCCAAGGCGCTGGAGGACTTCAAGGCGATCGATGCTTGCGTGCTCACTGAGGAGGACAAGAAGATGTCTCCGTTCGTAGAGGAAGATGACATTCCGGTCGTAAATGTGACCCAGAGCGCGCAAGATCCTGCGAGGGGCGAGCAGTTCGGCTCAAACGAGGACATACTCAACGCTGCTGCCTCGAAGACCATCTAATCTCTTCCTATTTTTCTTTTACTCTTCGAACTTAACTGCCCTTGCATGGGTTTCTTTTTGTAATTCTAATTCCGAGCCCTTCGTGGGTTCTGACTCTATTTGCCTCTCGGGGCTTTTTTATTTTAGAAAGACCTTCGGCATCTAACCTTCGGTTTAACTTTATGTCGTCGTTAAGATTTGCGGTTAATGCTTAAGTATTAGATCGGTATATAGTAGATATTCGAACGTGATTATTATCTTTTGATAGCGAATTGCGATAATTCGGCTTACGTTTTGCGAGTGTTGTGAACTCGGCTTACGGTGCGAATCTGAGGAGTTCGGCTTATCGTGCGAGCGTATGAGCTCGGCCTGGGGAACCCAAGTGAATCGTTTCGTACTGGAAGAGTGAATTAGATTCGAACTCCTGTAAACGCACGAAACGAATTCAAGGTTTTTCTAAGTCGAACCTAAGTATGCGAGATGTGCTCGGCTTATTGTTCTTGGTGACTTAGAAATTTAACTGCGGGACTGGGCCCGGCTTTTGATATGTGGCTTAACCACGACACCATGTGGGTGCTCGCGAGACGGATCTCGGCTTTTAAGTTTGCATTCATGTGGAATGCTATCGAACAACTGGCCAGGAAGTCGATGTAAAGACAAGGAGTTCGGTCCCTTGTGATTTCGAACTAACACTTAGTCATATCTTGACAATAAAATTTTATTGATGTTATAGCTGGACTCGGTAACGAGCTGCCTACGTACCCTTTAAAGGGATCAAGCCATTCGTAGTTCTAAGTACGAAAGGGGTTTTCGCTCCGACTAAGTAGTTCGGAGGCTTTTTTTTTTTTTTTTTTTTGGCGCTTCAAAACGAACTAGTAGTAGTATCGTTTGAGATGCATCGAGTTCCAAGATCGCGGGATCGGAGTTCCGTCTAACTTCATGAGTTGATAAACGCCGGGCTTAACAACCTTCATAATCTGATATGGTCCTTCCCAGTTCGCGCCAAGTTTTCATGCATTCTTCTCTTCAGTGTTTTGATAGACTTTACGAAGTACGAGGTCGCCGTCTTCGAAGTGACGGCCTTTAACTTTTTTATTGTAGTAACGAGCTGCAAGTTGTTGGTAATTCTGTATCCGGAGTAGTGCTCGTTCGCGATGTTCTTCGACTAAGTCAAGTGCGTCGATCATCATATTGTCATTCGCCTCGGGTTGCTGGGTAAGCATAGTTCGGCGAATGGTTGGGACGTTAAGTTCGGCTGGACACATAGCTTCTGCGCCATACGCAAGGAAGAAGGGTGACTGACCGGTTAAACGTCGCGGTGTCGTTCGGTGAGACCACAGGACGCCATCGAGTTCGTCTGCCCACGTTCCCTTAGCGATATCGAGTCGTTTCTTCAGTCCGTCAATGATGGTCTTGTTCGTGGCTTCGGCTTGTCCGTTGCCTTGCGGATAACGCGGGGTAGAGAAACTTAGTCGGATTTTCCACTTGGCGCAAAAATCTTGGAAAATTATCGAAGTGAACTGGGTTCCATTGTCCGTAACGATCTCGTACGGAACTCCGTGTCGACAGATGATGAACTTCCAGACAAACTTCTTGACGTCGATTCCATGGATCTCGGGGTATGCTTCGGCTTCAACTCATTTAGTGAAGTAATCTGTGACGACGAGGATGTACTGCTTCTGGGTCGTAGATCGGCGAAAAGGACCGATGATGTCCATTGCCCAGCGCATGAAAGGATATGGTGCAGTCGAGGTCATCAGGAGCTCGGTAGGAAGATTTATCATCGGACCATGACGTTGGCACTTCTCGCAACGTGCCGTGTACTTCTCGCAATTAGAGAGCATAGTAGGCCAGTAATAGCCGGCTTTCTTGATCTTAAATGCCAAGGACCGAGCTCCGGAATGATTTCCTCCTTCTCCTTCGTGAATCTTTTGCATTACTTCCGCGATGTCGTTGCCGTGAACACAAGTCAAAAGTACACCATAAGCGTCCCATCTGAGAAGAATACCTTTAATGACCACATACCGGGCTGCGCGAGCCTTAAGGCGCCGAGCTGCCCATTTATCTGCGGGAACCGTTCCATCTCCGATGTATATCACGATTTCTAAGGACCAATCCTCGGGTTCGTCTTCTCCTTCGGCTTCAATATCGATGGGGACGTGCTGGCCTTCGGACTCGTCCTCGGATTCGGGCTCGTTATCGTTAAGCTCGTCCGTATCGTTGTCGCGATCGGGGATGACCTCTTTAGGTTTCGTCTTTCGGGTGAGGGGTGGAGCACGGTTTGGCTGGGCTTCGTAGTCACGCCGTCATGTAATGATATTGCAGTTCGGATCGTGCTCGATACTTGGTCGCTCGATTGCTGCAATCGGGATAGTTCGCCAAAGATCAGGATCGGAATTAGTCGCGAGTGCGGCTAAGGCGTCGGCGGTTGCATTCTCGTCTCGAGGTATCTTTGTAAGCTCGAAGGTGGAGAAATCTGAAGCAATATCCTTAAGAACTTTGAGATATGCGTCCATGCGGTCGTTCTTGGCCTCGTATTCGCCGTGAAACTGGTTGGCTACGAGTTGAGAATCGCAATAGGCGTGTACGTGCTCGGCGCCGATACCTTTAGCGAGTCGTAGTCCGGCAATCAATGCTTCGTACTCGGCTTCGTTATTGGATGCCGGGAAGCCGAGCCGAAACGACTGCTCGATTACTTCTCCTTCGGGTGATTTGAGACGTATTCCAACTCCGGATCCTTTATGGGATGATGAACCATCGGCGTGAAGAATCCAAGGTTGTACGACCGGATTATCTTCGACGAGCTCTGGTGGGAGTTCGACCAAGAAATCTGCTAGGACCTGAGACTTCGTAGCCGTTCTGTTCCGGTATTCGATGTCATATTCACTAAGTTCGATAACCCACTTAGCGAGTCGTCCGGACTGACTTGGGCTATGAAGGAAGTGCGAAGAGGGTGATCGGTCAAGACCACGATTGCGTGAGACTGGAAGTACGGGCGTAGTTTCCGTGCAGAAATAACCACGGCGAAGGCGAACTTCTCCAAAGTCGGATAACGATACTCCGATCCGTCGAGGGACTTGCTCGTGTAGAAAATTGGTTTTTGTTCGCCGCGATCTTCTCGAACAAGAACGCTGCTAACTGCGAACTCCGAAATCGCGATGTAAAGATAAAGTGTCTCGCCGGTTTCTGGTTTGGATAGAACTGGCGGAGTGGACAGATATTTCTTTAGCTCGGCGAAGGCTTCTTCGCACTTCTCATTCCATTCGAGGTGCTTGTTACCGCGGAGAAGTTGGTAAAAGGGCAAGCACTTGTCCGTTGATCTAGATATGAATCTGTTAAGCGCTGCAATACGTCCGGTAAGTCGCTGAACTTCGCGTTTGGTTGTCGGCGAGGGGAGCTCGAGAATAGCGGCGATCTGCTTCGGATTAGCTTCAATGCCTCGCCGTGTGACGATATATCCGAGGAACTCTCCAGATGTTACGCCGAACGTACACTTAGTTGGATTAAGCTTCATACCATATTGATTCAAGATATCAAAGCATGTGCGAAGATGGCCGACGTGCTCGGAAGCGATGAGTGACTTTACGAGCATATCATCGATGTAGACTTCCATAGTTCGTCCGAGCTGGCTCGCGAACATCCGGTTTACTAGTCGTTGGTACGTTGCTCCAGTATTCTTCAGGCCGAATGGCATGACCTTGTAGCAATAGATGCCACGGTCCGTGATGAATGATGTCTTCTCTCGGTCCTGCGGATGCATGAGAATCTGATTGTATCCGGAGAACGCATCCATGAATGAGAGTAGTTCGTTTCCGGCAGTTGCTTCCACAAGGCGATCGATATGAGGTAACGGAAAGCTATCTTTCGGACACGCTTTATTGAGGTCGGTGAAGTCGACGCAAATTCTCCATTTACCATTCTTCTTTTTCACGACCACAGGGTTTGCCAACCAATCTGGATACTTAACTTCGGTGATAGATCCAGCTTTGAGTAAGCGCTCGACCTCGTTGTTCACGGCTTGCGCTTTCTCTGGCCCGAGCTTTCGGTGTTTCTGTTTGATAGGCTTGTACGTCGGATCTATATTGTGCTCGTGGCACGCGATCTGCGGGTCAATCCCGGGCATGTCTTCTACCGACCAAGCGAAGGTTGAGGTATGCTGTTTCAGGAAACGAATGAGTGGTTCACGGATGACTGGGTCGAGCTCGGCACCAATTCCAACTTGACGCTCGGGCCTGAGTTCGTCAATGCTAACTTGAACGATTGATTCCTGCTTAGGCTTTGTCTTTTGGACGATGAGCTTGTCAGTTGGTCCGAACGAACTAATAACGCAAGCTTGGTTGGCCGAGTGGAGTCTGCACTCATTTATGTAGCACGATCGAGCAACGGCTTGGTCTCCTCGGAGTGTGTACACACCGTCGGGGGTCGGGAACTTCAAGCATTGATGGTACGTCGAAGCGACCGCTTTCATTGCGTGCAGCCATGGCGTACCGAGAATAGCGTTGTAGATCGCTGGTTTGTCGAGGATAAGGAACTGGATCATCTTTGCGATTCCGCCGACGTAGATTGGGATTTTGACAGTGCCGATCGTCATACAACGTTCTCCATCAAATCCGGTAAGTGGCTCGATGAACGGATCAATCCTATCTGACGCCAACTCGAGCTGGTCAAGTGCTTCCTTGAAGATAACGTTGACCAAACTGCCAGTATCGATCAGAATGCGGCTAACTTCGACGTCGTCGAGGAGTAGATCGACAACGAGAGCGTCATTATGCGGCTTGTGAATTCCGATTGTGTCAGCCTCGGTAAAGACCAAGGGCGCTCCCTTCGGCGGATCCTGCGGGGTTTTCGGTGTGCTAGCGGCTTGTTTGCTGTATTCCTTGATGGCTCGAACGGAATAACTGCAAGCTTCGATGGCCCCCATTATCATGTTGACACGTTTTCGCGCCTTAGGAGCATGATTCTCCGGAGCTCGGTCATCGCGATTCCGTTTCTGTTGCTTGGGCAAAGCAGGCGGATTCGGTGGCGGTGGTGGTAGTGTCGGTAAAGCCGGTGGAGTTGGTGGATCTTTGGCGAGTGCTTTCTCGAGATGTTCGTTGTTCGGTCGAGGCATCGAGAGTTGCCCACCGCTCTTAGGCGTATTTGAGCGTCGGAGTTCGTCGACCGAGATCGGCTCCTTGCGATACAGGCTGAGTAGATATTCTCGCAAATGCCTGCATTCTTCGGTGCTGTGGCCCCTACGGTTATGGAATTCGCAGAATAACGACTCGTCTTGGTCTTCTTCACCGCGGACCCATTTATTATTCCACTGCTTGCTTGGTTGTTGGATTGCGTTAGCATAGAGTTTCTTGCGGTTCTCATATCCTCGACCGTATCCCGACTGCGGCTCGTTAGTCGCGGGTTTCAGACGTTCGGGTTGTTTTGTTGAGTGACTTTGCTCGTACGCAACTTCTTCTTCTTCTTCAGCAATGTAAGTATTAGCTCGGTGTAACGCATCTTCTAATGTCTGCGGTGGGTTATGCGTGATCGCGCTTCGGAAACTGGTCTTTATCCGAGCTCCTTTCTGAAGGCATAAGAGAGCGGCTTTGTCGCTAATCGTACAGTTGGTGACGATTGCCTTGAAGCGCTGGATGAAGTCGCGAAGGCTCTCGCTTGGTCCTTGAGCTATTTGCCAGAGCTCGGAGTTCTTGGTATTCTGTCCAATGAACATGGAGAAGTGCTTGACGAAGGCCGTCGTTAACTCTTTGTAGCTGTCGATTGAATTGGCTTCGAGCCGTGAGAACCAGTCGAGAGCTACTCCTCCCAGACTTTCCACAAATAGTTGGCACTGAACCGCGTCTCTTTCTTCGGCAGACTTAAACTGGTATCGATTCATGCAGATGCCGAACGACGTCAGGAAGTGTCGAGGGTCAGAGTTGCCCTCGTAGATTTTAATCTTCAGTTTCTCCATGTGCTTGACTGGCGTCCCTGCGATGCGCGATGTGAAAGGAGTCTTCTGTGTTTCCTGAATGACGCGCTCGATCTCCGGAGCCGCGCTTGTGGCTTGATGTATTTTTGAGGTGATATCGCAAAGCTGTGCTTTCATCGCTTCAAACTCGGCGTCTCGGCTTAAATCCGGTGCTGGTGGGTTTGCTGACCCGACCGCGGCAGACCTCATAGTTCCGGTTGGATCTCCGTCGGCATTGAGATCGTCAATGATGTTCCAAACTCGGAGAGGAGTTCGTGTCTGACTGAGTTCGGCGATCTGTGCCGCCATCTGACTGAAACGTTCCTCGCTCCTTTTGTTGATGGCATCGAACTGAGCAGTGAACATTTGGAGTAACAAGTCGGTTACGGCTGCGGGAGTTTGCTTGGCAGCAGTTCCGGCGTTTTCTCCAGGAGTTCCTCCCGTTTGCCCTGTTTGGGCGTTGATGTTATTTCCCCTGAGAGGGTTTTCTTCTTCGTGAACGTTGGATTGGTCTGCCATCGCTGATTCAATCTTTCCGAAGTCCGATCTAAAATCTGAGATATCTGTTTAAATCCCCCTTCCTGGCGCGCCAATTGTTGATATGTGAATATCGACAAGGGACAAAACAGTAATTTAGATCGGAAGCTTGGTTTTATTAGATTGAGTCAAGGCGAAATACAACTGAGTTCGGTTATTTCGATAGGTAATAACGAACTAAGACTTAAAGCGATTAAGAAACTATCGTAATGAGTTCTCAATCTCTAAGTCTTCGACGAATCCCCTTTTTTCTTCTCTGTGTCGATTCGTCTCCCTTTATATATATCTCCTAAGTCGGTCTTTAAGCACGCCTTAGACGATATGGGACCGAGAGGAGTTTCCTTTTCTCTCGGTTCCTTTCCTTTTCTCTCGGTTCCTTTCCTTTTCTCTCCGAAGTTTCCTTTTTCCGTTAGGAAACTTTCCTGTTTCGGCCGAGCTCAAGGAAACCTTCCATTCCTTTGAGAGGTTTCCCACCGACCTCGGCCTAATGGGCTATCTTCGGCCCATCTTCGCTCGGCCCATCTTCTCTCGGTACATCCCTTCGTAAACCAGGCTTACGGTTCGCCGATCTCAGTTTGTACCGGAGAAAACCAGGGTGCGGTTTTCACCTCCAACACTTAGCTTCAAGCTTAGGTGTGACCTCATCAATGGCTTTTCTCAGATTCCCAATGAAAATTCCTCCATCTCCAAACCGACAAACGTCGGTAGCAAAAAAGTATCAAAACCAAAACAGCTCTTTAACTGGTATACATCACAAACATTTTCAAGGCGATGCAATGTAACAAAACATACAGAGGAATCATGGCGTAAGAGAAATGATATCAGCTGTGATGATTAATTACCAGAGGGTCTCTTCTGCTCTTCTGCTCTTCTGTTGAGATCAAGGGCTTTGAAAGTCTCTTCTGCTCTTTCAAGTCTTTTTTTTTCTCTCTAGTCAAACTATCACGAGCCAAGCTGTTGAATATACCAGACAGTGCTAAGAGATTGATTCTCGACATCAAAAACTTGAAAAACGGAAACTCTAACCTGCCCGACGAATTCGTCGTTGAAGTACTTAACATGCCCGACGAATTCGCCAGTTATCCAGAAACACGAAATGGGAACAAAAAACTGGAAAGAAGGGACAATTGATCTTGATTGAGAGTCGGAGAGGAAGAGAAGAGTCGGAGAGAATGAGGAGAGAAAGAGGTTGATCGAGAGAAAAAAAATTTCTTTCTCCATTATTTCATCAGCCAACCAAATCGTGACACCTAGGCAACAAAGATCGATCCTTATTGTTTCCTAATTAGGATTCGATCCTCCTAATAAAAACCATTTTTGATTTTCTTTTAGGCCATTAATTCTTTAGAAATCTAATTAGAAACTGACGATAAACATGGTCTAAAGTATAAGTGTGGACTAGCTTACCTTCTGTTCGTAGCGGTGGATGTGCCCGTTTTCCTTGCAGCAGATTTCTAATAAATAAAAAAACTCAGTTGTTTTATTTTCAGTTATGATAGTTTTCCTTGACCATGTTTATCAAAGAAACTTTGGTCAGTTTCTGTTAATAAAAAAACCCAGTTTAATCAATAAAGCAGATTATCAAAGCAGGATCGATCCTTAAATTGGGAGTAGAAGGAGCGATCCTCCTAGCTGAAGTGGCGATATTCTATTGGCTAGGAGTTGATTTTGTCCTTAGACAAAATTTAAGAAGTTTCATCCCCGACTATATTTTCTCTTCCCCGACAAAATCAAACTTCTCTTCCCCGACTAAATTTTCTCACCACTCCGTCGCTTCCATTCTCGGCGATTACCGGCGATTACCGGCTTCCAAGAGAGGAATCGAAATCCTGCCGCCTCCGTACTCGTCCAGACTTCTGGTGAACAGCAGCACAGTTTCTCTGTCAGAACCACGAGACATGGAAAATTCTGAAGAGGCCGATTTCTTCAGCTTTTGGGATCCGAGGTAATTCGGTTGCTACAATCAACTCTTTTTTGTTCTTAAACATGCATATTGTCCCTTGGAGATCGTTTTGTTAGTGGGTTCCAATTTGATATTCGCTTGGGTATGATTTGGGAATATGGTTTTTGATGTGGGTTTATCTGGTTTGATTCGATTGTTTTTTAACATAATTAGGTTGGGTATGATATGGATTTGGGGTTCTTTGATATAATTTTGTTGCCTGTTTGGTATGGTTGTGATATATGAATTGTTTGAAAAAAATTGTAAGATCTGAATTGTTGATATCGATTGTTTCTAATTTTGTATGGTTTGATGGTTGTGTAGAGTTTCGATGACATGATTTGTATGCTGGTTGTATTAGAAATGGTAGAATCTGTTGTTAGTTTGAAATGGTTTTCTTTGATTGATCGATGCTAGTTATAGTTGTGTTTAGGTGCTAGTTTGACTTGTATATTTGGTTCTGATCTTTTGATGTTCAGCGTTGGTTGCAGGTACATCTCCTCTTCATCATACAAACGAGTTCATCTACTCTAGTTTGTTAAGGTAAGTTTTCTTAACTACATAATGGTTAGTATAGGTTTGTGAGTTGGATTTAGTTAGTTTGGTTATAATAAATGCGTAATCACTAGTTTATAGGTGAGTTAGGTAGTAATTGCTTTGTGCTGGGTAGATAGAGACGAATGTGTGATGAATGCTTGAAGGTGTGATGATTGCTTGTCATGTCGATATGGTTGTGTTTGTGTTCAATGCATTTTCATATTTTCTTTGTTCTTTTTTTTCTTTGCAACTTCTTTCCTCTTCATTCAATACAGACATTTGGTTTATAAAACGAGTTCATCATTTCTGCTTTTTCTTCTCATTGCTCTTCTTTGTTCTCGGTCCTTCTTCCATCTTTGGTCTTTGTTCTCTTTATTTTCTCTCGTCTTTTTCTCTTTCGTTTTTCTCCTCTTTGTTGTCTTTGTTGTCTTTGTTTTTTGTCTTTCTTTCTTTGTTCTTTGTTCTTTCATTTGTATCCTTTTTCTCTTCTTCTCTTTCCCGGATATGTCTTCATATCCTTTCACTCAGCCTTCTTCTCTTGTTGAACTGTTGAACAGTCAACAAGAGAGCATCTTTGCGTTAGGATCATCGCAGCCACCAGTGTTCATTTCTCAAGCTTCCCAGGGTGATGCAAGCGTTGGTGTAGACAAGGACAAGGAGAGAAACGCGAGGAGGCAATGGACGCCGAGTGATGATATTCTCCTCATCAGCTCGTGGCTCAACACCTCCAAAGATCCTGTTGTTGGAAATGAGCAAAAGTCAGCGGCGTTTTGGACGAGAATCTCAATCTACTTTGTTTGTTATCTTATTTAAGAAGTATGGCCTTTATGAACTATTGCTTTTAAAGAAGTGTTACTGAGCTGACCATTTTCTACTGTCTTTATGTTTTGTCCTTAAACGAAAATCTGAGGATGGATGTTCTTCTCTATTTATGTTCTACCAATATGTCTTCAATGCTTCATATGCGAAATTACCAAGGTTAGTTTCTTTCTATCATTGCTTTGTAACTATAAATTTATGTTTGTCTAGTTATGTGTAATCGTTAAAATTATGTTTCAGGTTTGCAATGGCATTAAAGGATTCTCGTGACACAAAGAAACAATGGCAGTAAGAGACAATGGACTTGTACAACCTTATCACCGCGTGACACAAAGAAACAAAGACATCCAAGTCGATCAGAAAAATTGGTCCTTTTGCTTTAGTTTTTTTTGGGGTTTAGTAAATGGTGTTTAGTGATTTTGTCAACTAGAAACCTATGTCCACAAGCTTCTCATAATATTTTAAACCACAAGTTGTATGTCTCTTCGCATATAAGTAGAGTAACACAGCACTTCATTGACTACACTTCTCTCCTTTTAAGCATTTTCAAATACAAATGCCATATTCTCTACACTTCTTTGCTTTTTAACTTCTCTGCTTTTTAGTTTTTATAAATACAAACTCCAGAATTCTATAAACGATCTCCATATTCACACCTCCTCTTCTATTCCATAATGGCTTCTTCTTCATACACTAATGATTTAGATAGAGCCATCGATGAAACTGTTGATCAATATTTTGATCAAGTTTGTGATCAAACCTTTGAAAATCTTTCCATTGCATATGGTGTTCAGCAAGAGACAATAAATCCACGGAAGAGAAGAGCTTATATTGAAAGAAACCGTGAAGAAGGGCACAACCGTTTGTGGAATGATTATTTCGCAGAAAATTCAACATATCCTGCAAATCTATTCCGCCGGCGTTTTAGGATGAACAAGCCATTGTTCTTGCATATTGTTGAGAGGCTTTCCAATGAAATTCCCTATTTTCAGCAGAGGAATGATGGTTCCGGAAGGCCTGGTCTCTCTGCGCTTCAGAAGTGTTCAGTAGCAATCCGTCTCTTGGCATATGGCACTGCTTTTGATACGGTTGATGAATACCTTCGTCTCGGTGCAACTACGGCTCGTAAATGTTTGGAACATTTTGTAGAAGGTATAATTGTTCTCTTTGGGGATGAGTACCAAAGACGCCCCACCCCTCAGGATCTTAGACTACTTGCTATTAGAGAGTCGAGAGGATTCCTCGGGATGATAGGAAGCATTGATTGCATGCACTGGGAGTGGAAGAATTGTCCCACGGCATGGAGAGGACAATTTACCTGTGGTTCTGGCAAGCCCACCATCGTTTTAGAGTCTGTAGCCTCATATGATCTGTGGATATGGCATGCATTTTTTGGACCTCCAAGTACTCTAAACGACATAAATGTTCTTGATCGCTCACCTGTTTTTGATGATATCATACAAGGTCGAGCTCCGCAAGTTACTTTTTTCTGTCAACGGAAGGGAGTATCATATGGCTTACTATCTCACTGATGGTATTTATCCAAACTGGGCTACATTTATTCAATCCATTAAACTTTCCCAGGGTCAAAAGTCAAAATTATTTGCTACCACTCAAGAGAGCGTCCGAAAAGATGTCGAGCGTGCTTTTGGAGTATTGCAAGCTCGATTTGCCATTATTAAAAACCCGGCACTTAGTTGGGATAAAGCAAAAATTAGCAAAATTATGAGGGCATGCATCATTCTCCACAACATGATAGTAGAAGATGAGCGGGATGAATGGGCGGGATACACACAATATAATGTTGCTGAATTCCAACAAGGAGACGGAAACGGAAATGCACAAGTGGATCAAGATTATTCGACAAACCAGCCTACAAATATCGCTAATATGTTCGATGCTCGGAACAGAGTTCGGGATTCAGACATTCATAAGCAATTGAAAAAGGATTTGGTTGATCATATATGGCAAAAGTTTGGTCACTTAGTGGGTAATTAAGTTTAATTGTTAAAATTGTGTTGTTTCAATAATTCTGTTAAGTTTGTAATGTTTTCAAATTATAATAAATGTAATATTAACAATTTCATTTTTAATAATCAATCTTTTTTTAATTAAATTTTTTTAAGAAATTCATCACAGTTTCTCTAATTTACCTATAAAAAAACATGAGTTTCTTCTTGGTTTCTTATTCCAATTTTACTAATATAATAACAAAGAAGAAACCAACTCATATTCCAACTTATGTTTTAAACTGCAATTTGTTGTGTGGTAGTTGTCTTTTATTAATGTTTTTGACTTTCTTTAGCAAAAGAATCTGTTAGTGGAAGTTATAGACCGCCCAATCTGCAAATATGTGTCAAAAGCGTAGTATTTCATTATATGACTGATATATATTTTTGGGTTTAGAGAAAAAGAGATTTAATGACTGTAAAATTGATCTCTTACAATGTTATATAACTCTGTTAATAAGACAAACAGAAGCTGCCTTACCAGTAACTTTGAAATTGTCAAATATTAAAAAAGAAAAATAAGGCAAGAAAGTAAGAAATCGAAGGAAAGAAAGAACCCAAATTACACTCGAGGTGATGCGCACATTAGTTTTCATGCCCACACGCGGTGCACATTAGCCCCAACCAATCAAAATCATCTCTTCCTTCTCCGGCGACTCTTCTTCCGTGAGCCGCCATGGCCACGTGGAACGCCTCCTCCCTCACGGCGTCTCCTTCCCGTTTCGTCTCCTCGAGGCGAAGAGCGAAGGCTCCACGGAGACGACCCTCCTCCGAATCTCCACCGAGGAAGATGAAATCAATCGCCGATATAATGGCGAAATCTGTCCCTGTGCTTGAACAGGAACAAGACGACAGCTACGGTGACGTCACCTGCGAGAAATGCGGCTCCGGAGAAAGAGACGATGAGCTTCTTCTCTGCGACAAATGCGACAGAGGGTTTCACATGAAATGCCTTAGGCCGATCGTGGTTCGTGTCCCCATTGGACCCTGGCTCTGTGTCGATTGTTCCGATCAACGACCTGTGACAAGTAGGGGTTTTTTTAGCTTGAATGTTGGAAAGTAAATCCTTTTCGTTTGCTGCTTTCTTTTTAATTTTTTTTTTCAAATTTTTGGGCATTGTTTTCTTGTCCGGATAATTTGTTTAGGTTTATCTCAGAAGAAGATTTTGCATTTCTTTCGGATTGAGAAGCAAATTGATCAAACGGACAAATCGGAGTTGAGTCAAGGTACGATTTTTGTTTTTGGTCTTTCCTTGTCTGAAAGCTCTTAGCTTTATGAATCTGAATAGGTGTTTCTCTTGATTATCAGTTTAATGAATATGAAACAGCTGAAGTTTAGCCTATAACATACTTTAAATTAGTGTTTCATCTGTTGCCCCTCATGAAGCATTATTGCTTAGGGTTTGTTAGCATTGATGAGAACTAACATACCTTAAATACATGGATTAGCCGAATATCAAGTGTTTGAAATTGAGCAAAATCAGTATTAATGGCTTCATTTCTTGTTTTGAAGAAGAGACTAGAAAGTATCGGAGACGAGCTTGCTCTTTGACAGTGAAGAAGAGAAAGAGAAAACTATTACCTTTGGTTCCATCAGAAGATCCTGATCAAAGGCTTAAACAAATGGACACACTTGCATCTGCCTTAACAGCATTGGGTATCAAATACAGCGACGACTTAACTTATATTACCGGAATGGCTCCTCGCTCTGCAAATCAATCCAAGTTCGAGAAAGGTGGCATGCAGGTAAAAAAAAAGGACAATCTTTCAGCCCTTTTCAATAACTCTCTCGTGTAAGTTACTTCCCTTAGTTGTTTTCCTCGGCTTTTATTTTTGCAGGTGCTTTCGAAAGAGGATTTGGAGACATTGGAGCAGTGTCGAGCTATGTATAGACGAGGAGAATGCCCTCCTCTTGTTGTGGTATTTGATCCGCTTGAAGGGTATCTCTCGATTCATTCGATCAATCTTCCCTTTAATGACAAAGTGGAGTTATAAACATGTTTTCTTTCCGTCTATTACAGTTACACAGTTGAAGCAGATGGTCCAATTAAGGACTTAACATTCATAGCTGAATATACAGGGGATGTTGATTACTTAATTACTTAAAGTATATTAACAATCAAAATTTGCTTTTTTTCTTTTCTTTTTATGGCAGCAGAATATAACTAGTTTCAATTCCCTACCACACAGTGTAATAATAAAAAAAAAAAAAAGGCATCACTAGCTTCACCGGAGATCTATAGTAATCAGATCAAAATGGGGTTAAAGCTCGTTAGGATAACGAGGTGGTTAGTTTGAAACCATTGGTAATGTTCAAGTAATGAAACGTGTGAAGAAAAGAGCTTCTGAACAAAGCTTCTTTGTGAGACAGATAGTTTCGTTTACTTTGAACAAAAAAGAAGCAAAAGGGGTTTTATGATTCCAAGAAGTTATACTCAGACAAAAGACTTTGCAAGAAAATGACCTCTCATCTGTTATTGGTACTTGTTGCAAAGGGAATCAGAGACATGAGCATTCTGTCTCGAGATTGAGAGTCAAAGTTTGCAGGAAAGTCCTACAAAGAGGGGCGAATGCAGCTTATAATAAAGGGGTGCACCCATTGATCTTTAAAGATTAATGCTAATAATAGATTAATGCTAATATATATGGAATAGCTAATGCCCCAATTCAATTTCATTTTGGGTTTTTCTTTTCCAATTAATTAATCCAAAGCATAAATTTACTAATTCATTCGTCTCCTATTCAACTCAATACATATATATATATATATATAGATTATTACTTTCATTTTGGTTTTAAATAGTATATATCATAGTCGACAAAAAAAAAAAGAAAAAAAGAGTAGTATCTATCATATATAGTTTTTATTCTGTTTTCAATTAATTTATTTACACTTTTTAATGTAAAGTATATACAAATATGCATCCAACAAAATGGTGCATGCAAACAAAATGGGAACATTTTAAAAACAACTTTTTACCAAAACAAAAACATTTTTAAAACAAAACAAAACAAACAAAACAAAAAAAAACCCAATTAAGTCGGAAATCACCTCCCGCTCAAACAAAAAGCTTTTTCTTCTTCACTGTCTATGCCGGTGCTGCCACTTCCCAAAAAACAAAACGAAACTGTGAAAAGCCCTAACGCGAAGAAGATGGATCGCAAGGGGAAGGAAAAACAGGTCGCGGGAACTGATTCGTCTTCCGGCGGGAAGAAACGGAAAGGAGGAGTCTTATTCAGAGATGAAAGCTTCAGTAAACGGAGAACCCCCGAGGTTACTCAGTTCTTCGAGGAATCCGGCGAGGTTGGTTACTATGGAGGAAGGTCCGACGAAGACTGATATGCTCATGGTAATTTCTAATTCTATTTCTCTGCCTCCGTTGATTTTTTTTTTTTTTTTTTTAAGGAATGCCTACTTTTCTTCGTGATTCTCTGTTTCGTCTTTTGTGAGGGCTCTGATTTTGTCACATTTGATGGTTTGTCTATGTTATTACCTTGTAAAATGTACATCATCGTTAAGCCATCCGTAGAATGACTAATTTCCGAGACTAGGGTTTGTTTTTGAGCTATGTTCTCGTTTGAGTTTCGAGATTTCTTCTTCATTTTTTTAAGTCCTGTGCGCTTTTGAAGGCTGAACATTGCAAAAAGTTATCATCTTTACCTAACTACTCATTTGAGGCAGATTTGGAAGATGAACCCGGTGTCGAAGCAAATGGTGAGGATGACAATGCAAAACAGGGAAGCTCTTCCTTCGTTTTTCCTAAGGAAGAATATGATAGATTCATGGAAGAAAGATACAAACCTGGTTCCGGGTTTGTTAGATATGCAGACGATGATGTGAAAAGTTCCATCGAGATGGATGCTCTTGTTCCAACTGCCAAGGATCCTCCACTATGGAAAGTAAAGTGTGCGGTATGTTAAACTAAGGGCTCTGTTTGTGCCTTAACCCAGTATGTTCTTACATCTGCTGAGTTCATGTGATTTATGCTTATAGATTGGAAGGGAAACACATTTGGTTTTCTGTCTCATGCACAAATTTGTCGAGCTGCGAAAGATAGCCACCAAACTACATATCTTGTCTGTGTTTTCTGTTGAGCACGTCAAGGGTTTTATCTTCATAGAAGCTGACAAGGAACAAGATGTGCTTGAGGTACTAAACATTTAACATTACTATGTTGGAAGATGTTGCTGTACCTTTTTGACAGTATATTGGAAGATGTTGCTTGGGGATAATCGTAACGTGTATGATATTCTGATTTTCCTTTTTTTCCTAGGCATGCAAGAGCTTACATGGTATCCATGCTACTCGGATGACGTTACTTCCTAAAGCTGAAGCTCCACATCTGCTTACTGTCCAAAGAAAAGCTAAAAAGTTGGCCGAGGGAACATGGGCTCGTATTAAGAGTGGTACATACAAAGGAGATCTTGCTCAGGTACAATTACAATTTCTTTTGCTTTATATGTTTCCTTTGCAGCTTGCTGTCTTCCTTAAGCTACTTAAGCTCTTATGCTCCATGTCCTTGTAGGTTGTGGCTGTCAATGACACGCGGGGAAAAGCATTGATAAAGTTAATTCCAAGGATTGATATGGCGGCACTAACCCAAAAATATGTAAGCACCCTATCTTCACGCTCATTTATTTGTCTATGCCCCCAAAGTTTACCACTGTTTTTTTTTTTTGTGTGTTCTACATTTGTTCTTTAGCTTATCATTTGCTTTGCACCTTTTTACTAACTTTCTGTGCAGGGTGGAGGAGTTGCTGTCCAAAAAGGCCTGAATCCAGCTCCAAGATTGATCAGTCCAAGCGAGCTTGAGTAAAAAAACTTGATCTTTTCTTCTCCTTTGGTAAAACATTTACCAAGTTTCTGATATATCTTCTCCCCTCTTTTGTCACAGGGAGTTCAGACCTATCATTCAAGTGAAGGGTGATCGTGATACTGGAATAAATTTTGAGCATCTTGATAGCCTGATGCTGAAAGATGGGTTTCTACATAAAAAATTATCCTTAGATTCATTATCCTGGGGGGTTGTTCCACCAAGGGAGGAGATACTAAAATTTACGCCTGTTGAACAAAAAGAACCTGGTGATGTGTAGTGGATGAAGGAAAAGATTATTCCAACTGGCAGTGTGAGGGGGAAAGGAGAAGGATCAGAGTGTGGAAAAGGAGAAGGTTCATCAGAATCTAAGTCAGAAAGTAGCTATGAGTTGTATAATCTAGTTTGTTTCAGGTATGGAATCGTCCATAATTGTGCTTCTTTGTGAGTTTTTGTTGTAATTTCATATGTAGAGTACTTCATCTATTTCCCTTTGTAGTCGAAAAGACTTCGGTCTGATTGTGGGCGTGGATGACAAAGGTGACGGCTACAAGGTATATAGTTAGTTATTCAACATCTCATATTACCATATGGTCTGTCTCTGATGAGTTGCATAATATCCCAGGTTCTGAAAGAAGGTTCTGATGTACCCGTTGTAGTCAGTGTTGGAAAAAAGGAAATGCAGAATGGACCGTTCGATTCAAAATTTTCTGCCCTGGATATGAACAACAAGCAGATATCAATAAGTGATGTCGTGAAGATTTCCAAAGGCCCATCTGAGGTATGATTTTATAATTTTATTATACTTGTTTGTTTCTGTTGCCCTTTTCTTTGACATAATCAGGTGAACGAAAAATTATGTGAAAGCTTCTTACTTCTGATGCATGAATTATAAATTCAGGGTAAACAAGGAGTTGTAAGGCAAGTATACCGAGGGATCATATTTCTTTATGCTGAAAGTGAGGAAGATAATGGTGGATATTTCTGCTGCAAGTCGCAAGCGTGTGAGAAAATTAAACTCTTTACTGACGAATCTAATGAAAAGGTAATATTGTCCAGTCCCTGCAGCTATCTTTTGATACCATTGATAGATTTTCGTGGTCTGATGACATTCTGTTTTTTTTTTTCTCAGACTGATGGATTTGATGCTTCAGCTTTTGGGGGTATTGCACCCTCCCCAGAATCGCCTCTTTCTCCTGAAAAAGAGTGGCAGCCCAAGGAAAAACACATTAACTGTATGTCTCATAAATGAAGGGTTATTATAATCTAGCTTCTATTTATCCTCTTAGACTACTCACGAATGATTTATCAAATGCAGCCAACCAAGGAGACAAAGGTAGCATATGTATTCTGTTGGCCAAAAATTGAGGATACGTGTGGGTCCATTGAAAGGGTATCTCTGCCGTGTTATAGCATTACGCTATCCTGATGTTACAGTCAAGCTTGATGCCCAGCATAAAATTTTAACAGGTTTGTTTTCGCGCATTCACACCTTCGATACAGTACTGTTCTGATGTGCTTCTGAATATTTTCAATGATGCACTTCAGTTAAAAGTGAGCATCTTGCCAGAAATACTTTCTTAAGGACAAGGTACGTTCCTCGGACTCTTCTTATGTATTCATTGTCCATTCTATCAAATGTCAACGTCTCTGACAATACCGTCTATTTCTCTAAAGTGCGGATGCTGGGACTGGTTCATTTCAATTTTTTGATAAGCTTTCTTTAACTGATTGTTGCCTCGCATCCTGCAGTGAATTTTTTTATGTTTTTTTATACTGGAATTCATCCCTTGGTATTATAGATTTGAAGTCCCATTTGAATGTGTCTTGAGAAGTGTGTTAGTTAATAATAATAGAATTTTCTCTATGATGATGTGTTGCCTTCCAAATTTTGATCGCATGTCCTCGTTGCAGGAGCGCATGGGGAAGTAAGCCTACATCTGATCGCATGTCCTCGTTTCTGACACTGCACTCTCAGCAGCCAACTGACCCAGATGATAACTCTTCAACGTGGGCCAATGCAACAGCTGAGAACAAACCTGCCTCCGCTGGTGATCAGTCTGTTGGTTTGAATTCCTGGGGTAAAACACCTGCTCCTGAAGCTAGCACTGCTGGTGGGTGGGGAGATGCGGGTGCTTCAAAATCCGAAGCTTCTTCTTGGGGAAAACGAGGAGCTACTGCTTCCAATGTTGAAGATTTAGGTTCTTGGGGTAAGCATGGAGAAAGCTCTGGTGGTAATAAACAAGACGAGGACTCGAGATGGGGTAAACTAGTTGGAGATTCTGAAGCGAC